TCTCTCTCTCTCTCTCTCTCTCTCTCTCTCTCTCTCTCTCTCTTTCTCTGTTGTGTATATGTGTGTGTGTGTGTGTGTGTAGTGTCTGTATGCATGTGTGCACACATGCAGAAATATAATCAGGAACCCCCCACCCCCACCAGCCCTATGCTGGACCTGAAGCTTACCCAGAAGATGACATCACTGCGGGCCCGGTCGAAGCGCATCTGCAGTCTTGCCAGCTCATTGTTGTGCTGAAGGATCTCATCATCCTTCTCCTCCATGTATCGGGCCAGCCGTGCCTTGGCCCGTTCAATCTTCTCCTGGCCTTCTTGGGCCGACTGCATGAGGTCATGATGCATGCTCACCAGGGTCTTGTAGCGAGCAATCACCTCGTGGATCTCTTCAAACTGAGGGACCAATGAGCTTGCGTCACCGAATAGCTGGCTCCCAAGAGCCTGATGCAGCCATCTTAGCCCACCACCTCTGGCCTGGACACCTGGATACCAGGGCAGGCAAGCCACAGCCATAAACAGGTATTGTGAGAATGTTGGCTTCTCCTGGGTTTATATGGGCTATGCCCCAGATGTTTGTTGGAGGATTGCACAGCTGGATCTGAAGTTTCTAATGCCAGCTGCGTATTAGAATCATCTGGGGACCCTTTAAAAAAAAAGATACTTACCAAGCTTCAATCCCAGAGATTCAGATTAATAACATGTCTTACGGTGGCCCCAGTGAATTAAAATTTTGCAATATATCTCTAGGTAGCTCCAGGCTGAGCTAGAGTTAAGAACTGCTGCTGGAGAAGCACTTTATCTCCTAAGGCAATATCAATCCTGTTCAACAAGAATGTTCCAGAAGCCACTCACAGGCCAAGAGCTATGCTAAAAGGCCAGGGAAGAGCAGGAGATAAGAAAGCCAGACCCCATTCTTTTGAAATTTATAGCCTAGAGGGTGGTTGGGTACAGGGAGGATAGACAGTGATAAACCATCTTTAGGACTGAGGGGTGGGGCTGCACAGGGCCAGAGTACTAACTCCCTTCAGCCTTTGTTCATCTTCTGTATCAGAAGTGGTGCTGAAGAGGGGTAAGCCAGTGGGTCAGGGGGCAAGCAAGATTCAGATCACCTGCTCCAGTGGGGCCCAGAAGCAGAGAGTTTGCCCAGCAAGCATCTCTATAGAGGTCATGTGACCTCCAGTTCCAGGACACCAAGTGTCTCCCCGGGGGCTATCGCAGTGTAGGCTCAGGGACTCTCTGAGCACATCTCTGGATCATAACAGTTGGTGGTGGCAGACTGGTGTCCAGGAACTGTCCAGCTCCTGTTTTCCTAAATAAGCTCCTTGAGGAAGACTACTCCAGCAAGTGGAGGAGGAGGTGGGAACAGCCAGAAAAGTATTTGGGGGAGACAGGAAGGCTGGCATGAGATTGGGGGGGTACAAGTAGAGGCTAGCCGGGCAGAGGCAGGTGGGGGATGTAAGGTGGTGTCACAGGTAGCAGGAGAAGCCTAAGTTGAGATGAGAGGAGGCTTGGGGGCATGTTCAGAATACTCACAGCAATTTAACACGAATGGCCTGAGGATCAGATACAGAGGGAAGGAGATGACCTGGGGGAAAGAACTGAGGGAGAAGTGCCTGTACAGTAGTGTATTGGGAGGCTGAGACCAGAGGATTCCAAGCTCAAGGCCTGCCTGAGCTATATAGTGAGTCAGGCCAGTCTGGATAACTTAGCAAGACCCTGTGTCAAACTAAAATAAGGGCTGGGGGCAGAGCAGTGGTAGAGTGCTTACCTAGCATGTACGAGGACCTGCATTCAATTGCTAGTAAAACACACACACACACACACACACACACACACACACACACACACACGAGAGAGAAAGAGAGAGAGAGAGACAGAGACAGAGACAGAGAGAAAGAGACAGAGGCAGAGAGAAAGAGACAGAGACAGAGAGACAGAGACAGAGAGACACACATACACACAAAGAGAAAGACAGATACACAGACACAGACAGATACACAAAGACACAGAGACAGAAATAGACAGAGACAGACAGACAGACACAGACAGAAATGCATACATACATACACACAGAGAGAGACAGACACACAGACACACAGACACACAGACATAGACAGACAGACACATATACACACACACAGAGAGAAAGAGAGACAGACAGACACACAGACACAGACAGACACACAAAGACACAGACATATCAGAGATAGACAGAGACAGACAGACAGACAGACAGACAGACAGACAGACAGACAGAGACAGAACATGCCTGAAAACTAGGAAGAGTATGAACATTATCCAGGAAGAGTTTTAGTTTTAAGAAGCAGAGAGCCCATGTCCTGTCTCTCTTTCCTACTGTTCTTCCAGCAAACACCGCTGGCCATTCAGAAGTTAGAATGAATGGGTTCAGCCAGAGCTACCAGGAAGGAATCTTGCAATTCTATTCTCATGTCAAAAGCCTCAGGTACCAGCTTTAAGAGGTTCCTGTTTGTCCAAAGGGGAGACAGTTTGAACATCAATGAGAATAAATAAAAGAGATTGAAACGTGGATTGAAATCCATGAGTTCATAATGACACAGGAGGTCTTTTTTTTGGAGGCTCCTGGCATGCTGATTTATTATTCTGAACACTATGAAGTATTAAGAGTTTGATGTGGGCATGGCAGTCCCAGCACTTGGGTGACAGAGAGAGGAAGATCTTGAATTTGAGGCTAGCCTGGAGTAGATAGTGAGACACTGAACAAAAGAAAGAAAGGAAGGAAGGAAGGAAGAAAGAAAGAAAGGAGAAGCCGGGCGGTGGTGGCACATGCCTTTAATCCCAGCACTTGGGAGGCAGAGGCAGGCGAATTTCTGAGTTTGAGGCCAGCCTGGTCTACAGAGTGAGTTCCAGGACAGCCAGGCCTACACAGAGAAACCTTGTCTCGAAAAAAACAAAAACAAAAAAAAAAAAGAAAGGAGAAAAAAGAAAAGATTGATTGAAGAAAGCCAAGTCATAGAGGGATATAGCTTATACAATGCATAGTGTATGGGCAGCTGATACATCACAAAATAATGAAAACAGTCATAAAAATGATAAATTCAAAAACTATGATACTGGTGACCCTTGAAGAGAGGAGAGAAAGATTGAGATTTGGAAGGATATATAAGGGGCTTAAGTTCCCAGCAGTGTTTTATTTCAGAGGAAAAAAAGAAAATGAAAAAGAAACCAGGAAAATATTAAGATTAGACAAAGTGGTGTGTGAGTTCTTGAAAGGTTAAGTTTTTCTCTATGCTTTCCAGTATGGGGGACAGGGAGAGAAAAAGGAACAGGAGAAGGATGTGGGGGAGGAGGAGAGGGAGAGAGAGAGGAGGAGGAGGAGGCTGTAGGATGGAAAGGGCAGAGGGCAGAGGTAACACATCTGAAGCTCGCAGCATGAGGAATGAGGAAGGGGTAGAGGTTAAATTCCAGAAATATGTGGGAGGCACATTGGACCACATCTGATTGATGGCTTCAGGATGGGGCGTGGGGCTGTAGTCTGAGGCACAAGTCAGTCTTGCTTAAGGAAGCATTTGGGAAGAGGAAGCCCCAGAGGGCCCTGGGAAGGAGAGAGGAGGTGTCACAGGAGCAATGACATTATATGTTGCAAGCAGTGCTACAGGAAGAGGGCTGAAAATTCCTGGGTGGGGTGGCAGGTTCTGTGGAGACATGGACTGCTTTTGGCCCAGAGGGGCTCTCAGAAGAGTGGGGGAAACATCAAGCTTTGCTACTTCCAGGCTGTGAGACCCCGGACAGGTGCCTCCATTGCCCTCGTTAAAGGCTGGCCTGTTTGTTCTTCCCTGTGTAAATTCTCAGTTAGCCTGTATCTTATCCTAAATGTACCCAGTCTTTGGAGGGTAGGTATTTTCTCTCTCTCTCTCTCTCTCTCTCTCTCTCTCTCTCTCTCTCTCTCTCTCTCTC